AAACAAAAGCGGCCACCCTCTTCAAAGTGCGGAGAGAACCCCTTTGTCATTGTTATCACTTCACCACGGCGGGACAATAGGTCGAGGAGGGGTGGTGGGACGCCTCTGATGCATGCGACTGCCTTTCTCTCCATTCTCTGGCACCGATATCATCCCTCCTCGGCTATCAAGATTTAATTGTTGGGCTGGCAAGCACTTTGAGACGGCTTTTGGCTCTCTTAAAGCCTCGTCTCAAACACGGCCTCAAACACAGACACGGGAGGGCACCGTTTGGGTTTCTGGAGACAGCCATAATTATTAATTGCTGCAAGTGGAAGGATTGTTTGCGCTTCTGTGTGCTGTATTCACTGTTCAGCACTATCACGGCGCTTTTCAGATTTGCTTTTGAGATTTACACACACTCGCGAGATAACTTGCAATAACGATATTGATAAAAAAAAAACATTTTACAATAACATTGACGGCGAGTTTCTCCCGAGATGCGATAATCCCCCTACAGTAATTTAACCTCGCAACTTTTCAAAACATTTTCGCCGACGACACGGTTTTAAAATGTCACCGACTGCGCGGCTAATTTTTTGAACGTTTCCTATAAATCCGTTCAAATGACACGCGCTATCCCTCAGCTACCCCCCCCTCCCCATCCACCTCCCCGGTTAATGCGACACTGACATGCCCTCTTGTGTACCCGTTATTAGCACATGAAGGAGTTTGGCGGTGGTGGCGGGCGGGGGTGGGCGGCTCGAGACAACACGGACGCACGCGTCTGCACGAGCGGGGATCGGAACGGTCGGGGCAGCCCTCTCTTCTGATGCCCAGCAAGAACCACGCCTTCTGCGTGACCCCAGGAGAGAAAGTGTGCACCCCTTTGAACGCGTGGGGTCAGGAGGAGGGGGAGCCGATGGCCGGCTGACCTTGGGGTCACCGACGTCTCATCCGTCCTGCTGCCCGGTGCCTTTTGAGGCTGAAGGGACACGAGGTTGAGTTGTAATCGGCGTGTGCGGTTGGCGGTGAGCGGCGACGGTGGGCTGTTTGGCCGAGCCGGCGATTCAGAGAACTGCCTTGAGCGATGCCTTCAACGGAAATTGCGCGCCGATGTTTTGAGAGCGCATTTGTGACGTTGATTCTTTTTGCTGCCATAAATGACTGTATAATTGATTGAATGCTGCTGCTGCTGCTGATGGTGGAGACTAATGATTTTAACGATGAATGTTGTGATAAAACTGATCTGTTCAGTTGATATTTGGAAGTACCGTATCTTACAATTTCTCTCTATTCTCATCGTAGCCGATAGATCGCTTACAAATATATTCTTACCCTCACAACAACACTCGTTTAAACTAATGAACATGGGAATCTGTTACGCCTGATGCAAACTGTAACAGCGCGCGAAACTTACGGCGTCATTTTAGGTGTCAAATGAAACTGTACAAATGCGACAGAAAAGAAATGCGGAAGGCCACAAGAACAACACAAACCTACGGTTGAATCACTGCCTCGAACCCTGACACTTTATCTCATCACCACCGCGCGAGGCAGACGAGAGAGCCCGTTTGAGCCGCAGAGGAGAGGCCTGTCCGCGCCTCTCGTCGTCGTCGCTGTGAACATCACCACCACCACCACCACCACGTTTTTTTGACCGCTCGACCATGCGCAAAAAGACCTCCAACCAGACACGGAGAACGAGGCTTGAGAGACAAAAACAAAAACCTCCCCATCATAAACCGCCCGGGCCCTGCCATGCCGAACAAGGAGGCGGTGACACATTCAACAGCTCGGGCCGAGATAGATTGCAAGTGGGGGGCAGGCGGGCAGGCGGGCGGGTGGGGGGGCGGGTGGGGGGGCGATCGCCGTAAATGACCCCCCGGCTGGCGCGCACAAAGCCGGGGGTCCTGGTAACAAGCGCGGGAGGCTCTCATCACCCCCATCACTCCGAGCAAGCACAAAAGGCGTGCCCGGTACGACACAAGCGAACAAGGTGATGAACTTTCACCCTCCCCCCCCTCTTATTCTGGTGACACCCACCCGAGCTCGCTCGCTCGTTTGATGGCGTTATTTTTCTGCGCTTGTGGAAACCGCGTGCCATGACCGCTTTGCCCCTGTTCGGATTGTTTTTGCGCGCTCTCTCCCTTTGCGCCTATTGCTACATTTAATTGCACGATGGAGGCAGAAGGGCTCGTCCCAGTCGGCTGCGTGTGGGCCTGTGTTGTATGGATATATAATGTGTATACTAATGTTGTTGAGAAAAATAATGATTGCGGAGTGCCTATGTATGTATGTTGAACCTCTTTCGCACCGTACATAACCAACCGTGCCAATAGGAGATGTGGGGGGAAAAACTACAATCTAAACATAAAAATAAGCGAGAAAGAAATGGGTTTGCAATCTAGATTTAAAAGTACATAGCTCGAGTGGCTTCCTAATATCGAAAGGAAGAGCGTTCCAGACGACCGCAGAAGTGCATCTGAAAGTGCGCGATGCAGTGACCGTCTTTGCTCGATGGTTAGACAGCACCATGCCCGGCTACGTCCATCTCCCCGTTGCTGAAAGGTTGCACATGGCACCAGAAATGCAGTCGGGAGGCGAGCAGAGGATTGATGAAGGCCTAGAAATTATTAGTCGTTACATTATGTATTGTATACATAGTATGTTGGCATACGCCCTTATATTGGATGGCAATCGAGACTTGAGTTTTATACACTGATCCAGGAAAGCTTCGTTTGAGTCTCAATACTTTTTCAGGAGGGTCCTGCGTTGGGAAATTCCATGAAGGAATGTGTTTGAGTTGTGCATACTGGAGTACACATTGAAACCCAACCACTCAGAACTCGTCACTTATATATTCAAGAATCCACTGTTGCAACCCTATCTTCTGGTCACTTGACAGCCCAAACATCTGCAATGCTCGATATCCCAGGGTAGTCTCCCATCCAAGTCCGAACCAATCTCCACTCCGCTTAGCTTCCAGGATCTGTGAGATCGGGCTATGTGGGTTTATAGAACCATGTAAGGTCACAATCATTGGTGTAAAGTGCATTAAGGACCGGCCCCCTGTCACGAGTTCATCTGCCACCACAGTGTCCTGTACTCAGTGCAGCACTTGGAACTCCTATAACTTCAGAACTCCTACAACTGAGCTTCCTACAACTTCACACACATGAGGCTCACTGCAACAATATTCATTTGCTACCGCCGCCGTTCGAGATGCAGTATGTCATTGACAAGTTAAACGAAAAGAGATCAAAACAAATGAACAGTTCTGCCAGGCCTGCGTGTGTGTGTGTGCTACGATTCTAGATTTGAAGCTTTCGTGACTGCAAGGATTCATATTCTTAGGTTTTTTTCGGTAAAGTCACGTAGGTAAAAAAATAAAATTAATAAAAGTTAAATAAAGATAAAATAAAAATCACGTGACTTTACAGAAAAAACCTAAGAATATGTGTGCTACGAACCCAGCGAACCAAGATCAATTCCCGCTCACGGCCAACACCGGTGACGATTATCTGAACCGGTCCTGAGCTTCCCCTGGTTCGACTCAGTCTCAAATAAGCACCTGGTGCGGTGTGTAACCGTCACCACTGGGGAGACAAAGGCGGCCGGGCGTGGTGCTGGCCACCCACCCCTCGTCTACTTCATAGGTGCTCGCTAACAGCACTTGCCCCAAAAGTCTGTTAAGGCTATACGGGGGGAGGGGGGGGGAATCTTTGTCTTTGTGTGTGCACGACGTCACTGTGAGGCCAAAGGTGGCTGGGCGTGGTGCCGGCCGCCGAGTTTATGTTGTGGCATAGCTGCAGAGTGACGGGCCCTGCCAAGCGGTGCGCTTGCGGAGGGATGATGTTGTCCTGCGGCGCGTACGCCAGGCACGTCGGCGGCTTTGTAAACGCCGTCGAACCCTAACTCGAGCACACGCCTCATTTTAAAGAAACTCTCAGCTGCTGAGATGGGGTGCCGCTTTTTGCGCTGAGCGTTTCATCATCACCGCAGAGAGCGTTGGTTGTTTGGTTTCAGACGCAAAAGGGGACGCGAGCAACCGAGGGTACGGAACGACGCAAGAAAATCTTGGGCCTCAATCGTGACAGTTCATCGACTCTCTCTGGGGGGTGAATCGTTACAAGCCGACAAGCCCGTCCATTCGTAAAGCCATTGGAGCACGTCGCAAATGGCTTCTCTCTGCCCCCAACTGAACGACGCTTGTTTTTTTCACGGCAAAAACAGCCAGACACACAATCTCCTCCAGACAGACGATGCCGCCGGTATAGGTGCGTACCTTAAAAAAAACATACCCACAATACTTGCTGCACTAATTTTACGAAGGACTGTGCCAAATTAGCATTTCGTCGTCACGGAGTGGCGAACGCTTCCTGTTGACACTGTCGGGGTGAACGGCGCACCGCCTCGCATCAGCGAAGAGGAACCTGCCTAGGGAAGACGTCACAGAACCTCTTCTCGATTGCCTTACACAGGCAGGCATCTTATCGACTAGATAGCGAACGTATCTCTGTGCCCAGTAAACAGTGTCCACTGTATGGAAGTCGAGCGCAGATGTCTCGTACTCGAAGATAGAATTTGACAAAACTGTAGCGTCGGAGCAGCCGCTGACGGCAGGGTCCCCACCGGCAAGGACATCCGCCACGGAGACGGAGTCGCGAAAACAAACTCGTGAGAGATGGTGACAGCTGAGGGGACGGCCTTCATCCAGCAGTGGATTGATCGCGGCTGATGGCGAATAAGGAAAAGTGAGCATGCAAAAAGTAAAAAAAGAAAACCCCTTCAGCCTCTGTCACAACGAGCCGCAGTGATCTCACACGCGAGCCGGGAACCGCGCGGCATCATGAAGCCCTCACCCCCCATCACCCCCGCGCCAAGAGCGCACACACACACACGCACCGTCACATCCGCAGTGGTACGGTCAGCAGTTGTGCAGATGCCGGGCAGAGATTACTCGCCGAGCACACAAAGATATCGACTCAAAATATTCCACGTATGCGCACCGCACGTACCCATGGAGCGGCCCGGGGACGGCGAGCCGTGCATGCCGCCGTGCTGCGCCTCGCCGCCCGTCTCGTACGCGTCCTGGGCCACCTTGTGCCGGAACGCCTCCTCCTTCCGCCGGTTGGCGAACCAGTTGTAGACCCGCACCTCGGTCACCAGGTTCGAGCCCAGCCCGTGGGCTTGGGACGGCGAGACGCCGCGCTGGATGCACTCCGCCCTGCGCGCGCAAACGACGCCGACGACGCGGCACCGTCAGTGGCATTTGCGCGCCGTGCGCACGAGGCAGATGTTCCCGCGCGCATCCGACGCGCGCCTGCGTACGCGTGACGGATGCCACGTCCGTCCCCGGCTGTACCTGGGGACGGCTCAGGCCCTGGCATGCTAAAATAAACGAACACAAACAAAATCTCACCTGTTGCACTCCTCCACCAGGGCCTCCCGCTCCTCCTTGCTGGGGTTCTTCTGCCGCTCGTACGCCTGCCGCAGGATCTGCTGCGACGCGGGCCCCCACTTGAAGCGGTTGCGGCGCGAGCGTTTGTTGGGTGGCTCCTCACCGGGCCCGGCGCCGGTGGTGCCGGCGAGGCCGTCGTCCACCATGCCCTGGGGGGCGCCGCTCACCACGCCGTGGCTGAACTCTGCGGGGCGAGCGCACGCTGTTGTTTAACAACGGCCGCGATCGTCGTCATTTAGCATCAGCCACCATCGGTCTGCTGCTGGATGAAGGCCCCCCACCCCCGTACCCCCATTCCTCCCCCCCCACAAAAAGACATCACCATCACTCGCGATCCAGCCCACTTTTACGAGTGTGGCGGCATTCTCCAGATTATCAATACGCTCCAGAAGTGACACCAACAAACTTGTGCCCAGTGCCAACAAGATTCTACAAATCTGGTCACACGCACATAGACAAAGATCCCCCGTGTAGCCTTAACAGCCTGTTGGGGCAAGTGCTGCTTGCGAGCACCTATGAAGGCCGGCACGGCACACCAGGGGGTGGGTGGCCAACACCACGCCCGGCCGCTTTTGTCTCTCCCAGCGGCGATGTTTACACACCACACTAGGTACTCATTTGAGGCTGAGTCGGGACCGGCTCAGGACCGGTTCAGATAACCGCCACCGATGTTGAACGTGAGCGGGAATCGAGCTCGAGTCGCCGGTTTCGAAGCACAAACACACACAAACACACACGTGCACACGACGCACAGGGCGGAATAAGTGCACCTCATTATCCGAGGAATACGGCACGAGAAGAAGAGACAGGACTCACGTCTCTGGATCTCACGTTGCTTGCGGATGTACCAGGCGTACAGCGCGGCGCGCTTCTGGTTCTTCATTGGCGTGCCCTTGTTGAGGTGCTGCGACAGGTGTGACTGGTTGAGGCCCGTGGCATCCACCACCTCGCGCTGCGGGATGTTGTGCTGCTGCATGTAGCTCTTGACGAGCTTGGAGACACGCCATGGGTCTTCCCTGCTGGGCCACGCACACACAAACGCACGCACAGACATGCACGTGCACACACGGACGCACCACGTGCACACACAGACGCACGCACAGACATGCACGCGCACACACGGACGCACCACGGACACACATCCATGTGCACGCACGCACACACAGGCGCACGCACACAAAGGAAGAGCCAAACACGGGTGTTAGCAGGCCTGATGAGAGGGGGGTGGAAGGTGGCACAAGGTTACCATGTGCAGTGGCTCCCCCGAAAATAACAAGCAGATATGAACTTTCATTCGAATTCAGTAATTTTTCCCATGCTTACATCGCAGCATCGTGAGAGGTGGTGACCGCTTTGGGAGGCCTTCAGCCAGCGGGGAATTGTTCATAGCTATAATAATGATGAATAAAGTACACGTTATACAATTAGTAGTAATTGTATAATTAGGAGTAATAGTTGACAATATAACCAATGCATGGCATAGACATCAGACCTATGATAATAATGAATGTAGGCTACCTGGCGATGTAGTTTTGTGGTTAAAATGTCAGCCACATGTCATTTGCGAAAAATGTGTTGATCTAATCTCTGTCCCGAATAAAAAACAAAAAATATCGAAAAGCATGCACTTAGCAAACATTACCAACATTGGCTACAACCTCTAAGCCCAGGCAAAGCTGCTCCCTTTGGCAATGGCTATGGGGCATGAGAACGAGATGGGAGCTCCAGCCAACATATACCGGGGGCCCAACATTTCCCAATGGGCCTGGGTAATAGGGTTGTATCGATGCGTCGCTTAGTCGAATAAAATATGTTCTTGTGCTTGCAATGCATGTATTGAATTGTGTGCTTGAGAATAGAATATTTAATGTTCCAAATTCCAGCGCTCTCTCGAGATCAAGAGGCAACTTAGGCGCTAGAAGTTCATTATATGTATGTTGAACTTCTTCCGCACCGTACGTAGCCAAACCGTGCTAATCGGAGGTCAGAAAGAAACAATGTGTAAGCAAGTCTTCACCGCAATACATAACAGGAATCCCAGCATGCCTTGCGTGTTGTCTTGCGAACCATGCCCGAGTTCCTGTTTGACTATCAGAATATGTATTATAATTCTGCATGTATACTGTTCTATGAACGGTAGTTATGTGTGACCCTTGCCGCCACTAAAGATTGTGACACAATGACCAGAATGCTAATTAGCACAAATATATAATGCATCGTTTAATCGAATCGCAATTCATCCGAAGATTGAGCGGGGCGCGTAATTACTGGCCTAATAAGTATCATCTCCATCTTGGTGATTCCTCATCTTCATCAGATTTTTCGTTCAAATGTAGCAGCTGCCACGGTTTTTTTTTTTTAAACCCTTACGAAGGAGTATGTATGTAGTATGTACGTTTAACTTCTTTCGCGCCATACGTAGCCAACCGTGCTAAACTAAACACAAATAGTAGTTCTTGACAGTTGTCATCATCATCGATCACCATCACTCGACTGAAGTATTTCCTTCTCGATTCCGCTGCTGATGACTTGCTTCCCAAATGACACTCTCTCCAATTTCCCTGCTCTCCGTCCTCCAATCGTTATCTTGACCATCAGAGACAAAGATCCCCCGTGTAGCCTTAACAGACTGTAGGGGCAAGTACTGTCAGCGAGCACCCTATGGAGGCCAGAACGGCACACGAGGGGGTGGGTGGCCAACACCACGCCCAACCGCCTTTGTCTCCCCAGTGGCGATGTTTTTACACAACGCACCAAGGTACTCATTTGAGGCTGAGTCAACCTAGGCGAGGCCTAGCACCGGTTCAGATAATCGTCACCTGTGTTGGCCGTGAGCGGGAATCGAACTCGGGTGGCCGGGTTGGTAGTGCAGCTGGCTGACCGCTTTACCACTTTGACCATCACCCACTTCCCCTCCCCCATGCGGGTTCTGTCCACTCACTTTGGCGCACTATTCATTGATGTTCCAACAACATCATCATCTTCACCACCACCATACGTTTAAATGTCAGTTATCAACATCATCATCATCATCACCACTATACCCTCACATACAACTACCTACATCATCATTAAACGCATACATTTACATCTCATCATCAACATTCATTTACATATTATCAGCATCATCATCACACATATCTTTACATTTCATCATAAATATAATTACTTTACAAATCACCATCGTCAACATCCATCACCATGCCTTCACGTATGCTCATAATTATAACCATTATATATTAACCAAGCTATCATCGCATTACCATTACCAATAGACTATCAATAAACCACAAATTAGATCAGAAGCACAGAAATCATCACGAAAGCACTACCAGCTGATCTGTGAAAGACCGGACACTTCACGCTACACAGTACACACATCACTTGCACGGAGCGGACACACAACGGCGAACCGCGTGGTAAGGCCCACTGAGCGACACGGCAGCTCTTTTTGAGACTCGACCCTGGCTACAAACGACAGCCCAACGCGGTGGCAGATAGCCTGGAAATGTATAGCAGACAAATACTCAAAACGCAAGTTTGTAAATGCGGAGGGAAACACCATGAGGATCCGGAGAAAAAAAATCTACGCGACCACGGGAGAGAGAGAGAGAGACACGCAAACTCCAAATACACAGCTGGCGTCAGGGTCGGGATTGGGATCGAACCCACGACCTCCTGCATACCAGGCGAGGGGGATAACATCTCGCCACAGCGGCACCCCAGATCCATCGCAACCGATGGAAAACATTAGTGGCGAATGATATTGGCATGACCATGGTCTTGCCCCCTCCCTCCCCCCCCCCTGTGATTGACAATGCGTGACGAGGCGTTAATGGGGCGGTGGATGGACACGTTGGTGTGCGTTCGACGCTCGTGCCAATTAACATTGAAGTAATCCGCGCAAGAGGGCGCGTTCAATTGTAGATAGATGGGTCGACACGGTGAGGCACAAGCACACGAGGGGCACACGGCTACACTGAAGGACGTGCAGATTGGTTTGCAAGACTGTTCGGCCGGGTCGAGGCGCATTTCACCTGGCCAGCGGCATGGGTCAGAGCGATCGCGCACTCATGCGATCACGGCCCGGGGATAGAAGACAACAACTTGTCATTGTGTGATAGAACTACTGACCCACCAGGGCATTTGCGAAAGATACCTCCCCTCCCCCAAATTGAATACTGCAAAACTAATTAACATGCTTTCGTACTTCATAATCATCCTTTATCAATCCACTACTGTTTCGATTTAAAGCTTTCGTGACTGCAGGGATTCATCTTCTTGGTTCTTTCGGTAAAGTCACGTAGAAGGGAAATAATAATAATCCACTACTGGTTGACATTCCGTGTTGTTCAATGGGGGGGATTGATCATACTCGAACCACGTGTGGGTTGGTGAAAGAGAATGGTAGAGGCCGACTAGGACCGCGCCAGACATCACTCGCCACTGATGTTAGCCGTGACCGGGAATCTAACTCCGTGGGCCGAACTCGAGAGGCCGATGTCAAAAACCAAAAGCGCACTGCGCAAATCACTGCGCCACCGCTCTTCTGCGGGGTACCTAGTGTCGGGATGGAACCCACGACCTCCTACGCTCCAAGCCTGGTGTGTTTCATTCAGACGCTGTCTTCCCGGCAGACCTGTTCTTCACCTGAGGACGGCTGCTTGCGTTGTGGCCGAAACGTCGTGAGAATTATTTTATTATGTTAAATTTTTATTATTTTATTATTTCCCTTCTACGTGACTTTACCGAAAGAACCAAGAAGACCTAGTACTCTGTTGGAAAGTTCTACTTCTCCAAGAGCTTCTTACAATGCGAGCTATTTCGTTTTTTGGTTGTTGAAAAAATGGATCTGTTGACTGAGTGAGTGTCGGTATGCATAAGGCACGAATAGAATTAGGCAGTTAACGCGGCGTGAGTGATGGTCGCATTGACTGGAGCGTTAAAACGCGTGAGCCGTTACATCATAAAAGTCGCTTTTATACTCGCGACACGGGGCGAGGATGTATCTGTGCAGCCAACGTCTTCAGAGGACGGAGCGGTGGCGCAACGGTTAGCGCAACTGCGCTGTGAACCCGGCGTCACCAGCGCAATGTTCCAGGCCGCGGCTAATTACAGCAGCTACTGATAAGCCGAACTCGCCAATTAAAACTCAATTCTGAGCTCTCTACGTTATGCGCGACGTGTTTAGCAACCATCAGGTTCGTGAAACGTGTGCAGGCTCCATGCGTATTCGAACGCAAATGACTGGCGAATGGAGCTCGAGAGTAAACACACAGGCGCCGTGAAGGAGCAGCCCTCCGATTGCTTTCTCATGCCGCTGTTGGCATATTTGGTCTATACTCTTAGTTTTTTCGGTAAAGTCACGTAGGTAAAAAAATGAAATAAAAATTAATAAAAAATAAAATAAATAAAAAGCACGACGTTTCGGAGGCAACACAAGTCTCCGTCATCAGGTGGGACCGTCACAGCCAGATTTGCTGCATCAAGTGAGGCCTCACTTGATACTATACTTTTATTTGTATTAATTTAAATTTCATTTTTTTACCTACGTGACTTTACCGAAAAAACTAAGGGTATGAATCCTTGCAGTCACGAAAGCTTCAAATCTAGAAATATTTGGCCTACTCTTCCACGCTGGCCGGAGGTTTTGTACGGTAGGAGTACCCCACACTTCACCATACGCAGTCTGGGTGGTCAGAGGCAGAGGCAGAGGTCGAAACGGCAATGTCTGGATTGCAAGCCCCCTGTTGATAACCATTTATACAAGCAGCTCTCTGCTGAAATAAAAAAAAACACCTACAACGCTTTCCAAATCAAGGCATAATCTATTCAAGAAAGCTGGCGGTGCTGTTTTTGTTTTGATTGGATAACATCTGGAAATGTTGTAGTTTAGGTAATTTGGAAATGATGACACGGACACGTGGGTGAATACAGGAGAGTGATATTCGGGGGTTTCTAGTATCCGGGGGGCGGAGTGGTGGCTGAGTGATAAACACAATCCAGTGTAAAGTTG